CCAATCCAACCTGATTACCCCAGGTCCAACAAAACCCAACCAAATTAAATCATATCCAACCAGAATAAATAAGACCAAATGATATCCAATGAAATTACACCAAACCCAACCAAATCTAACTTAATTAGACCATATTCAATGAAATCCAACACAATATACTGGACTCAAACAAATATAAACCTGATATAAATCAGATCCAACTAGATATACTAGAACAAACTACATTTAGCCAGATTAAATCAGACTACACCGCATCTAACCAGATTAGACTGGAACAAACCAGACCCAACCAGAATATACAACCCCAAACAGATTACACAAGTCTAAACCAATCTAACTAGATCAAATCAGATCCAACCAGATTAAACAACACCAAAACAGGTAATAACATACTAACTCAGATCTTAGCAGATTATAGCAGAACCAACTAGATCCAACCATATTCCACTAAACCAATCCATGTCCAAGCAGACTAAATCAGCTCCAACCAGATTAAATCAGATCTAACCATACAAAGACAATTACTAATGCTGCTTCTAAAGTCACTCTCCAGAAGTCCATAGGGGAAGTTGAAGAAGATGCCTGGATCAGTTGACAGTTACTCAGAATGAGGTAGGAGTCTGCCATGCACTGGCTGTGGCTATGACCAGGAGATGGCCTATGGCTTCTGAAATGGTACCCTGGAGGATGGGGGTGGCCAAGTGGCAAAGGAAGAATGTGGCCATAAGACTCCCCACTGCCTTGTGTTCCATTTTTGGGGAGTTGGGAGGAGGAGAGGTAGAAGGACTGACCTTGGAGGCAGTGGTGAATGGGTGGGGTGTGAGGAAAACTACACTGGACTACTTCACACACAGCCATGAAATCCCATGGCAACAACAAAACCAAAATATGAAATCAGTGGTTCTCAACCTGTGGGCTGTGACCCCTTTGAGGGAGTCGAACAACCCTTTCACAGGGGTTGCCTAAGACCATCAGAAAACAGTTATTTATATTATGATTAATAACAGTGTCAAAATTATAGTTATGAAGTAGCAACAAAAATAATTTCATGGTTGGGATTCACGCAATGTGAAGAACCGTATTAAAGGGGTGCAGCATTAGGAAGGTTGAGAATCATCACACTAGACCCCTTCTGCTGATGGAGGGTAAGTATGCAAGCAGACCTGGAAAGAGGAAAGAGGGGAGAGAGCCGAGAAGACACACAGTAGGGGAACCCAGAGAGGCTGCTAGCTTGGCCACCCTATCTGCACTCAGACACCTCATTCTTTCCTCAGTTTCCCCACCACAAACTAGCTTAGAAACACATGACACTCAGCTACCTGGAGAAGCCATTCACATCCTTTGTCCCTACACCCAGGAGCTAAGAGGGGGACCAAGGGATAGATTGGGGTGGGACAAGGAGCCTGAGCCAAGGGGAAGCAGGGAAGGTGTTTTCTGCATACTCCTTCCTTACTGCCCAGATCTCCCTGGTCTCTCCAGGTCTGCATCCCAGATCCAGGTAGGCCTTGATAACAAGTCCAGGTCCTTGACACATACTGTGTTTCTTCATCCCAAGATCCCCTGTCCCAGATGCTTACTGTGGTCACCAGGGACTCCAGGCGGGAGGGACTATGGGTCTACTGGGTCTAGTTGTCACAGATCCTTGTTGGAGCCCAGGGGAACCTCTACTCTCATAGAGTGAAAATCAGCTCCAGGCTGAGAAATTGGGATACAGTGAGGGACTTCACCATAGCCACAATAAGTCAGTGGTTGCTGCCACATCAACCACTCACTATTCCCAAGCCAGGGCCACTGGCCATTTCTACCCAAACCTGAGTGCCCTGAATCTCTTAAGCCCTGTCCTTTGTCCCTTTGAACCTCCTACCTCTTTCCCAGATTTTTCTCTGCCACGAATAACAGCAGCAGGACAGACAACAGAGAGTAGCTTCTCAGAGTCTGGATGTGCCCTGCCTCCCACAGAGCAAGTCTTTAGTCACCCCTGCCGCCCATGCAGGCCAGCACAAGGTGCCACAGTAGAGGTTACAGGTTGATGGATGACTGAGCCCAGCTGCCCATGTCCCGTTCCATTGAGATTGCATCAGTTGTCCTCACGAATGAGCTCCAACATCTGGTGGCTCTCACCATCTCCACATCCTCCTCTCCCATCCCCTGCCTCTTACAGTGCCTAGTACCCAGGATGAAAGTCTCTGATGCTGTGTCAGGTGTCACTCAAACTAGCTCAAAATTCTCCCAGACAGTAGGAACCAGATACATGGGTTTCCACCTAAAAAGATAATGGGTCTTCAACTCCTGGAAAGGCTGGCAGGGAAACCATGGGGCTGTGCACAGGTCATACTACCTGCCTAAGTTCATGGTGTGGGGTCTCCTATCCTTGTCCTTTCTCTGGCTTACATGAAGAAGTCAGGGTTGGTGAGAAAGTTCACATGTCACTTGTCAGAAGTCTCTACCACCAGAATTGAGGAGGCAGCACTCAGATGCTGTTCTCCTTGTAGGAGTACATGGCTACTATTCCCCCCTACTCACAGGAGGTGGCCCATGAGGGTGTCTGAGGGATCGTGTGTCCTAGCAGACTACCAGGGTCTCTAGCATGTTTCTGGGCTCAGATCAGTGGGATGTGCCAGTTCTGGGGACATGGGGTCTGGGTGTCCACCTCTGTTACCTTATCCCATAATTTGGCTCTCAATATCCTACAAGAACGGAGAATTAAAGTCTCTGACTTCCCCCTTCAGCTCTTTTCAAGTAGAAACTGCTGTCTTGAGGGCTGCCAGGTCCCTAAGATGGCTCTGGAGTTTACGGACAATGGGTAGATTGCAACTTCATGCTTGTGAGAGCCATGCAGAGCAGCAGGGATGCAACAGAGAGAGCTGCAGAAATGTCACATTGGAGACAGCACGAGGACAGCAAGTGTCCAAAGCACAAGCCTGTGGACGGTGATGAGCAAACCTACATCAAGAAGCCACGGGGAGAAGCTGGCTACAGCTACTGTGCATTCCTGAGGGTGAAGTCAAATAGTGATACAGTTTTGAAAGCGCACAGAGACCTTCCCTGACCCGGTTTTACTTGACCTAGAGACTTGAGACGCTGGACACCCAATGGCCATTAAAAACCAGCTTTCAGGCCACGTGTGGTGTTGTGTCTTTAATCTTAGCACTTGAGAGACAGAGGCAGGAGGAACTTGTGATTCAAGGTCAGCCTGGTCTACATACAGAGCCAAGCCATATAGAGTCACATAGTATGTTGGTTTGAATGAGATGGCCCCCGTAGGTGCGTATGTTTAAATACTTGGTGGAATTGCTTGGGAAGAATTAGGGGATGTGGTCTTGTTGGAGGAAGTGTGTCACTAGAGGCAGCCTTTGAGGCTTCAAATGTCTCTGGCCATCTTCAGGGCCATCTCTGCTTCCTGCTTGTAGTTTTGAGATGTGAGCACTTAGCTGGTCCTGCAGCCATACCTTTCATCCACCATCGTGGACTCTAACCCCGTAAAACCGTAAGCCCAACGAAAACACTTTATACGTTGCCTTGGTCATGATGTTTTATCATATCATGGCAATAGAAATAACTAATACATATAGTGAGACCCTGTCCCCAAAAACAAAACCAAACCTGCAAAGTCAACCCCACACAGTCATTGTCTCAAGCCATTGGGAGATTAAAAATGTGGACACTTGTGGGCATAGTGAAGATGGAAGGAAATGGGAGGAAATGGACGTTGAATATGTCTAGATGTCTTTATAGACTTGTGGCAAAAGATGGACATTACACTTTGTGAATGTTTTTATGGTTCAGCCAGGGAAATGACCGCATGCTGTTCACAGAGTGTCCACCCACTTACAGGGAAAGCTACACTGGACTCTTTACACACAGCCATGAAATCCCATGACAACAATCAAACCAAAATACAAAATCAGTGGTTCTCATCCTGTGGGCTGTGACCCCTTTAAGAGAGTCGATCAACCCTTTCACACGGGTTGCCTAAGACCATCAGAAAACAGAGTTATTTATATTATGATTAATAACAGTGTCAAAATTATAGTTATGAAGTAGCAACAAAAATAATTTCATGGTTGGGAGTCACCACAATGTGAAGAACTGTATTAAAGGGTCGCAGGATCAGGAAGGTTGAGAATCATCACACTAGACCCCTTCTGCTGATGGAGGGTAAGTGTCCAAGCAGACCTGGAAAGAGGAAAGAGGGGAAAGAGCCGAGAAGAGGCACACAGTGGGGAGCCCTATCTTTGACTTGCTTTGCTAACTGTTGACTGTGGCTCATCTGGAGTCATTATGCCTAGGCCAGTGTGGATCTTGTGGGTATCTTCCCGACTGTTAATCACACTATACTGTTTGTTCTCACAGTCATGTGGTCAGCTTGTAGGTTGTCTGCCACAGCTACCAAGACAGAGTTGCAATTTTCCTTGCTTACCTCATAATTTAACTCTTGTACGGAACAACTAAGGGTCTCTTTTGTGGAATAGATGTGAGAGAGAGTTAGGAGGACAGAGGTAGACAGGGTAAATGAGAGTGGACTCCCTGAAATGGCAGCTTCTTGGTTCCGGAAAGCTTTGCAAGAAGAAATGAAGTTATGGGACTAGTATCTAAACAGGATCAATAGGGTCAAGGGGGGGGGACCTTGTATAACACCCATCCCAGAGTCTGTTTAGTGGACCTCCATCTCCAGGAACCCTCCCATCTCAAAGGGAGCTGCTTGCTTCACTAAAGGTGTTACTTTGGCTTCTCGGCATCTTGGTCTCTATCTTTCTCAGACATTCAGGCCTTTGTCACATGGAACAAGCTTGGTGATCCCTCAGACGCCCTCCAGCACTCACATTACAGGATTTTCAGACGCACTCCTGACTTATCTGCTACTACCTAGTCTTCTATGATTAGTTGCTCTAGCAGCAAAACTATGTGAAACTGTTACAGAATTAATATGCTTTCCCAGTGAGAAATCACTCCACGCCTTTAGAGATTAATGAAGGGGAAAACTTTAATGATAGCACACAACAGGTTCTGGCTAACGTACAAAAGGATCCAGCCTCGAACAGAAAATTTTGCCAGTTTATATAGGCCTTGGGCTTATATATTTCACATATGCTGTCATTCTTTAATCTCTTTCAGGTCCAGCCCCAGGTCAAACTTTGAGCAATTTAAACAGACAGGAGACTGCAAGTCTGGCCACTTAGGCAGAAGGGAGGGTTACACAGTGAAGCCATTGCCAGAATTAGTTCTTAAGTACACCAGTGTGGTTATTCTGGAATAGTTGTCACCCGGAGTCAACTTTCCCACCTGGTGGAAGGATGTTTTTCCTGAGAAGCGATGACAGTTGACCCTGAGCTGCTCCCTTGAGCTGCTCATTAGAGGAGTGTCCTTCACTATGAGGATGGGCCTGACAGCTGGATGCAAGTCAGGGTTGTCTCCTTTGGTTGAGGGAATGGAGCCTAACTGGAGGTCACTATTGGTGAACAAACATTAGCAGAAATGTTTTCTCAGTAACCATAGTTTTCCATTATGGGAGGAAATGTCTTTCTCACAGTTTCTAGTCAGCCTGATAAGCACACTGCTTATCTCTAGTCATAGCAGAGGCAACCCTTCTTTTGCTAAATTCTACTTTGTATAACCTAATTATTTCTTAAGCAAGCTTATTAGCAAATCCCTTCAACTCTATTCCTTCAAGTTTCTCCTGCATCAAAAAGACTCCAGTGATCTCTGTATACTTCCCAGGGAGACCCTGTGGAAGCCAGCTGACTGGCCTGCCCATGCTGGCCTTGCCTCTTAGAGGCCCCATCAGCCTCCTAGCAGGTGAGCTTAGCTTGTTCACACCCAGCTACAAGCTCTTGTTTTTCATCCTGACCCAGCTCCATTATTTTAGCTCTAATATCCCTTTAACCAGAATCCGTTTTCACTGTACCATTTCTGAGCAATTTGTAGCTTTTCACCATAGACCCTTCTCCCTTACCATGAGCTAGCTCCTACCTCAGAAGGATATACATTTTGGAAAATGGCCTCTCAAATTGTCCAGCAGAAGCTTCCTTCCAAGCTTCTATAACCCATTAGTTTTCTCTCAGGTCTTTTTTTTCCCAAGAAAATGAAATTATTGGTCTAAGCCAAATCCTGCTTAAGGAAGCTTGCAGCAACTTCACCCATGAAACCCCACGTGCCTTCTGTGTGTTCAAGACAAGCCACCAAGCCAGGGACATGCCACTCAGCAACAAGAGGAGAAGGGCTTGCCACCTGTGATGGCAGACAGCTGGAAATCTGAATGTCAAATGTCAGGCACCAGACAGCAGAGCACACACACACACTGTCCCTTCTAAGATGCAGCTCCCAGAGCAGGCTGGTCTAACCTGGGGCATCAGAAGTCCTCACTGCCTGGCAATGTTGGAGGGTCCCTGGGAAGGGGGTGGTTTCTTCCAGAGTGACGCAAACATCCCTGGCTTGTCAATCATCTGAGTATACACCTTAAATGGGCTCATGTCTTCATTACATGTGAGTTTTGTCTCGATAGAGTTGGTTTGAATAAAATGGTGGGGATTGTGATCTTCTATCGCACAGGACAAACAAGAAGCTCTGAGGAAGGGAAGAATAGAGGAGTGTAGCCTTTTCCTCACAGCAATGGCACCAAACCAGGCGGGTAGTACACCGAGAGTCATGCTAACAGCCACTGAGCAGAGCCATGGAGGTCGGGAAACAGCACACTCTGACAGCTATCAGCAGCCCCTCCATGAGCTTGGGCAGGAGTGTAGCCAACTGCAGGAGTCCTGGTTCTCCCCAGGTCTGGCCTTGAAGACAGAGAGTAGGGTTTTTCTCTTGTGGGACATGCAGAATGAACATAACAGCTAGCCATAAGCTGGGCCGCAACAAAATACCACCAAGTAGTTTAATCCAAACTCCCCCACCCAAAGCAAAACCATGACGCATTATACAAGGAAAACTATGACACATGATATACACAAATCCTAGAAGGGGTGCTAGGTGAGGTGGTTAGGAACTGCAGCAGCTCAGGACAAAACACGGGAAAACATGGCTGAAAAGGCAGGGGCCCACAAGGTACAGGAAGTCTCGGCAGACTCAGTAGAACCCTAACTGCTCCTCCCACCCCAAGCTCCACACTGCTGCCCTTTTAGAGGCTTCAAAACAAGGATATCCCATTATCACCCACACAAAGGAGATCCATCCATAGACAAATAGGCAGGCTGGCGATCCTGTGGGCGCGGTGCAGCATTCCCGCCAAAGCCCAGGATTCGAGCAGGTGCCCACTCAATACCCTTGGCGAGGCATGCTGGGGTGGTGAAGCACATGGGGACCAGGGAGGAAGAAGCAGGCTGTCTCCACTATAAACCAAGGCTTTTATAAACACAAGCAAAGGACTACACAAGCAAAGAAGAATTACAAGGGCCCAAAACATGAAACTGATGGGAATCCATAGTCCTTGGATGACACACAAACAGAAGTGAAGGCTACAGAAGTCTCCAGACATGTTTACTCTAAAACCCATATGAAAAAATAAGCAGGAAGAGTCTGGAGAACCCTGGAAACAATTAAGCAATGGCAGGGGTGTGGGGCTGTCTCCAGCAGATGTTAAAAATACTCGCAAGTGTTCACAGCTAACGGCAAAGAAGCCAGAGGCAGAAAGAGCCAGCTCAACCACATACCCACGGCAAGGAGAGCGTTTACATAGGAGCAGGCAGGGCTTTTAATTAGAGCCATATGAGCTTCTCTGTGGTCCTTGTGTGTCACAGGAGACACTGCAGGGCAAGTTCCAAGTAGATCAAAAACCAGAAATAAACTATGGCTCATATAAGTGCGAGAATGGCTTGGGAATGGCTTGATGACCTGGCTACAGAACATCCTTCCCAATACCGTGTAGGATTCCATGTGACTAGAGGAAATGCCAGGGTAGTGAGTTAGGAACCCTCACAAAAGTGGTCACACAGACTAATCCCTTTCGTATGAAGAGTCTTCAGTAATGTGAAGAAAAAGCAACGACAGAGGAGGGCAAGCCATGAATGGACTTGTCGGGAGAATGACTGCCAGAACCCTCGATGCACAGACAAATGGCAGCGCCATTGCTTGGACTTGGATAGATGCAAACTCACCCTCATCACTGGGCTGATGGAAGCCCCAAAAGCCCATATTGCTGTGAGGATTCAGGGAGCTTGGCTGGGTACCTCTGGCCACCAAAAAGTGACAAGCCTTGGCAAGTGGCATCGCTTGCTCTGAGGAACTCAGACCTCTTTGCCTTGGAGAAAACGTAAACAAAATGTACTGTCTCTTCCACAAAAAAATGTTAAATAAGACAAAATGCCACCTAAAAAATTGTAGTGAAGTTGCCTTGCAGAAATTTCCTGAAATCAGGATATAGGCTCAAAATTGCAACTGGGTGCTCACAGTTGTATTCTGATTACCAAGTGTGATACTTTAAATTAGCCAGCAGTATAAGAATCCTGGGATGATGAGGCACAGGACCCCTTTGTGGGAAGAAAATCACAGCAGGCCCCTGATGGCTGTTTTTGCTTACTTGTCTGTCTAATGAAGCTACATATCCTTCTGTAGAAGGAAAACTTTTTGCCTTGCCAAAATAGTTTGAATTGTAGTAATTTTCTTATGACCCCAGACCTATCTCTTCCTTTTAATTGAAAATATTTTTCATGCAATATATTCTGATGACAGTTCCCCCTCTCTTGTCTCTTCCCAGATTTTCCCCGCCTCCCACCTGTCCAACTCTATACCTTCTTCTTATTTCTCTAGAAATTGAACAAGGCAGAATAAAGCAAAGGAAACAGACAAAGAAAACAAACAAATAGACAGGATTCAGCCTGCCCAGAGACTGCCAGCTTCCAAGTCCATTCTCCACCCACAGGACAGGTGAGGTTAAGTGTGTGTCTGTCTCCAGCCTGCTTTCCAGTGGCCTGAGCAGAACCATCGGAGACCTGAGGACTGCGCACAGCAGATCCAGATCCCAGCCCAATGGGATTCAGCCTGCCCAGAGACTGCCAGCTTCCAAGTCCCAATCTCCACCCATGGGACAGGCGAGGCAAGGGTCCAGCCTACCCAAAGTTCACTAAGGTCCAGATACTAAGACAGCCTCCATCCACACAAGAGGAAAACCACCAAGGTATTGGGCCTGCTCCCACCCACTGGAAAGGAACCATGGTCACATACCCACCAGGGGAGGAAGAGACACCTTCTGCACCCACAGGAAGAAATGATGGGAAGGAGACAATACAAAAGCACACCCACCAACAGAAAAACCAATATGACACCACCAGAAACTAGAGAATCTACACCTGCAAGACCTGAACAGTCAATTGCGGAAGAAGCAGATGAGAAAGACCTTCAAAACAACTTCATGAAAAGGATAGAGGCCCTCAAAGAAAATATGAGAAAATCCCTTAAAGTCATGGAAGAAAAAACAAACCAAAAAATACAAGAAATGGAGGAAGAAACAATCCAAAAAATGCAAGAAATGGAAGAAAAGACAAACCAAAAACTGCAACAAATGCAAGAAAGAGAGGAAAAGACAAAGCAAAAATTACAAGAAACAATTCAAAAAGTACAAGGGTTGAAAGCTGAAATAGAGACAATAAAAAAAAACACAGTCTGAAGGAAGTCTGGAAATAGAAAAGCTGGGCAAACAGTCAGGTACTACAGATACAAGCATAACCAACAGAATACAAGAGATGGAAGACAGAATCCCAGGTGTTGAAGATACACTAGGGGAAATAGATTCATTGACCACAACTTAAGGCTGCTCCTTCACCAATGGCCTCTTCTGGCCTCTCTTCAGGGACTCCTGCCCAACCACACGGAGCCAAGCCTCAGTTATTACCCCTGGTTCTTTCATACCTTCAAAACCATCTGGGTGACTCTTATACTAGTTGCCAGCATGAGTGCTGACTGAGGAAATAGTCCCAGATTTACTGTCCCCCATGATGCTGGTGTCTTCTTTATCTTTACTGGTTTTTCAGCTACAGCTAACCAGCATCAACTGTCTGGTAAAGCAAAGGTTTCACTTCCACAAATATTTAGTCCAAAGTATTACCTGAATGACTCTGATATAATCTTTGCTTCCCTCTGCTAATTCACAAGTCAGGTCTTATCCCCCAGGTTCCCACAACAGCTGTCAAGCTCTCCACACTCAATGGCTTTTCTAATCCAAAGTTCCAAAGACTTTCCTTGGTCCTTCCAAAAGCAGCATAGTCAGGTCTGTCCCAGCAACACCCGACTCCTGGTACTAATATTTGTCTTAGTTAGGATTTCTATTGTCGGTGTTAAAACACCAGGACCATCGTGGGGAGGGAAGGACTGATCTCAGCTTTTATTTCCACAATCGCAGTCCATTACTGAAGGAAGCCAGAACAGGACCTCAAACAATGCAGGAGCCTAGAGATAGAAGCTGAAGCAGAAGCCATGGAGGAGTGCTGCTTACTGGCTTGCTCGCCTGCTTTTTGATAGCACCAAGAACACCACTCCCGGGGTGGCACTGCCCCTCAGTGAGCTTGGCCCTTCCATATCAATCCTCAATAAAGAAAAGCCATAGGCGTGCCTGCAGACCAATCTGGTGGGGGGCATTTTCTCAAGTGAGGTTCCCCCTCTTCTAAAAATGACGGTAGCTTGTGTTAAGTTGACATAAAACTAGCCATCAGTATATCACAAAGAACCCCGGGGGCTCGTGATCTCTTACCTGTAGGTAAGGAGCCATTGATAGTTGGTGGTCTTTCTGAGGACGGGAGAGCCAGTTTTCTTTAAGAACATGGTCCCAGTAGGTCAAGCATGCTCCAGTGGATATCTCCATACCTATGGGTATATGGGCATCACAAACCGGATTTTTTATTTTTTGAGGAAGGGCCAAGTTAGGAGGGGGGTGTGAGTGGGTCAAGAAGGGTTAGGTGGAGGTGTCAGGGTATATTTCCAAAATACATTGTATACGTATACATGAAGAAATTTTCAAAGAATAAATTTAAAATGTTATATTTTTAAAAAGAACTTCCCAGAAACTATCAAGTTCCTTCTGAGACAAGGAGTGGTCAAGGGACCCTTTAATATTGGTCTTTCAGGCCAGGTCAAGTTTTATGTATTTGAAACATTTAAATAAAACTTGTGAGAAGAAATGTCCTGGTGTAAGAACAAGTTGAAATGAACAAATCTAATAACTCTTATCTGTGGTTCACGTAAATCACACAAGTCCCAGGCCTTGCCATCTTCATCACCCCCACCCGAGGCCAATGGAGACAGAGATGCCTGGAGGAAGCTCAAGCAGTCATAAAACTTAGATGGAAAAAAAAAGTAACTATGAAAACCAGATGTGAAGGGCAGGGGGATAAGATAGGGCCTGGATGTTAGAGAAGGTTCTGGAGCTAGCTTAAGGTGGGTTGGGTATTTTGGGGGCGACGTTGGTTCAGAGAGACCCTGGTTGGGATGAATACCAGGTACCGGATGTGCAGTGCTGGATGCGGGGGGGGTTCATCCTACTGCCACAAAATCACGAAGGTGTGACAAAACGAGCAGCAGGTGGGCTGGGAGAGGGGTGCCAGTGGCCCAGGACTGTTCGATCTCCCCCGCAGTCTCGCAGATTTGTGAAGGGACACGAAGCTGATAGTTACGAGGAGGAAGAGAAGAAAGGAACTTGACTCAGACAAAGCATGGAGTTGGAGCTGGCCTGGGGAGACAAGAAACCGATCGACTGTTCTAAGCCCAGATGTAGGGGAATGGACACCATACTCCAAGCCCTTTTTACGTATTATTCCTTCTTTACCCTGAAAAGGCACACTCTCAGGAAACATAATCGGAAAGCCATGCTCTGAAGAAACCAGTTATTTTAGCCAAGTTTGAACTGTACCTCTTACGTAAAGCAGATGTCTTTGTCTGCAGCCAGCAGCTTCTCTGGAAACTGTGATTGGCCCTTGAGACAAACCAACTGCAACTCTCTGCCAAGGACAAGGGAGTATTTCCTTCTCCCAGACCCAGAGGAATGCTACCTCCTTCCTGTCCTGCACCTCCGTGAGTTCCATCAGGGGCTAGTTCTGAGAAATCCCAGGTAGAACTGTGGGGTCACTAGAGGGGACAAGGTAGGCCAATGTGGTAGCCTTAGCCCTGAGCCCGAGAACAGCAGGGTAGGCCACCCTAACTAAACTCATGCCATTCTTTCAGGGAGCCCAGAAATGGATTTGAAGGTCTCTAAAATCAACCAGTCATGTCTACATTTAACTTGCAACTTCCTCTTTTCATAGAACCCTGCAGCCAAATCTCTCAGGCCCCACAAAACACGTGTCAATTGGAGTGTTCTTTCTCAAGAAGAGAACATTACAACACAGCTGGAGTAGGATATGAAGCCCACTGGCCTGTGGGAGCTGGAGCCTGCTAAGATGGGCCTCTCAAGTCTCTCTGGCTGAGGGTTTGCTGAAGGATCCATATTTCATAGCCAACATTATCTAATCCACACCCGGGATCTGCAATTCAGAAACAAATTTCATTTTTAAGACATGGATTCATAAATTCATTGACCCCAGCTCCAACCCCAAAGTGACGTGTGCGTCTTGAAGCCTTGGATAGATTTGCACAGGCTTAGTCAGAAAAGGATATTCCAAGGGCACCCGAGTCAACTGATATCTTGGAGCTGTGTGCTGGGAGAGCAGGCAGGGGTGCGGAGCAGCAGCAAAGGTGCCCAGGCTTGTTGAAGAGGTGCCTGAGTCCCTCAGCTCCTCAGGTAGAGTGGTGAGCCTCCCCTCACGGGCTAGCCAGTCCTGTTGCTAGACTCTCCCTGCAGCACAGGGACCTAACCAAGACCCAGAGGCTACTTCCCAGCCACAGAGTGGAGAGTCTTAGCTGGGGGGACAAAGCCCAATGAACTACTACTGACAAGAACTGAGGCACACCACATGGCCTCATCTGCTCCCTTCTCTGTGACCCATAAGGCCACAGTGCTTCAGGGAAAGGAGGCCATGGGAGGAGAGAAGCCTGGAGCTGGTGGGTAGGGTGAGTCTGGGGAGACACCTGGTTCTTCCTGTTTTCTTTGCTGGGTAGTTCCACAGACACTTTTGAGGAGTCCTGTGGCATTAAGATCCCTTCATGAATACAGGGCAGCACTGGCATGAGTCCTGGGAATTAAGAGACAGCCTTCCATGTCTGAATCATTGAAGGACAAGTTGTCTTCAGGCTCAGCCTGGCCACCATGTGAAGCCGTGTGGAGCTGTGGAAGACAGCACCTGTCTGAGCCCACCTCTTTGACCCAGATCTGAGGCCTGTAGGTTTCTGATGTGGATCATGTCCATGGAGATGCTGTACAGGCCTTTGCCAAGCCTGAGGGTGGCATCCCTCAGAAAATACCACAGGAAATAAACGAGGTTGAGGTGAGATGCTTCAGGAGACAATAAGCAGGAAGCTCTAGACACATGGACTGACCACGTGTTCAGTTGTCCTCTTCCCCTACAGAGATGGCTGCTCAGACCAGGCACACCAGAGGGCTCGGTCATCCCAGTCAGGTCCTGGAGCAGAGGTTCTTTGGGTCTTCACCTGAGGACAGTGCTTGGGTGGGGAGGAACTCACAAGGATTCTGACACCAGGCCCAGGTAAGTCCTGGTGTCTTGACCCTTGGAGATCTCAGGATCAGCCACCTCTATGACAGCCACTGTCTTAAAGACAAGTCCAGGGCCTCAGGTCTGGGTTTCTGCATTCCTCATGTGTTCATGAGTCTCAGAAATCACCAGATGAGCCTGTGTGTCTAGGCACCTGAGAGCCACTCCTACCACAAAGAACATTGAAAGCAAAATAGTTAGCCCCGCTGTTGGAGGACTCACTGGAAATCCGAGCAGCAGAAGTAATGCCACACACTGGCTTCACAGAAAGTGAGGTCACTGGCATCCACCCCATTGTAGGGGGTCTTCAACAGCGAACCAAAGAAACTAGAGGCCAACACCAGTGTCAATATAGCTTAGTCCCTCTTTCAGTCATGTTGCCCAAGGTCCTGAAAACATTACTGGTTGGGGACACTGTTCTCACCACCCACATAACATGGGGGACAGACTCATACCCCGTGGACAAGGCTAACATTAGTAGGGCCACTGCTCACAGCACATGAAGACGGGGCTCATACTCTGCAGGCCTCACGCTGAGGGTTCTGAAATACAGCGCCCTCTTTTGTCTGGAAAGATCACCCTTCCCAGGATCCTCCAGGCATCCTGTCCTTGCATGTAATGGCAGGTAAGATGTCACATGAATATATCTAGGCAACTACAGAGGGACTGTGTCTCACACCCTCTACACTTCCTCCATGGTTTTCAGGAAGGTTCTTCCTGTGTTTGAATGGAAGCACTTAGCTTTTTCAGCATCTTAAAGGGAAGAGTCCACAGGGTCCAAATGAGGGACAACTCCCTGGTGAGACCAGAGAAAAGTTGAGTGTGAGCATTTCCCAACTCCCATCACAGCAGAGAGAGAAGAGCAAGACCTGAAGTCCCCAGGAAGACCTCAGAGTGAGCAGCCTCCTGGGTTGGTTTCTGCTGCTGGTCTACTGTTGAGGTGACAGACAGGAAACCGTTTCTTTAGAGCAGTGGCTCTCAACCTTCCGTAATGCTTCAGCAACCTTTACTTGCGGCAATCTTTACTACAGTTCCTCATGCCGTGGCGACACCCAACTATAAAGTGATTTTATTGCTACTTCAGAACTGTGATTTTGTTACTGTTATGAATCGTAATGGAAACATGTGTTTTCTGATGGTTTTAGGTGACCCCTGAGAAAGGATTGCTCGACCCCCAAAGGGGTCTCAACCCAAGGGTCAAGACTCGCTGCTTTAGAATGTCCTGTCTAAAAGACAGCTAAGGTGGAACACGAGGGAATACATCCTATCTCTGCTGGTGTCAAAGAACAATGGTCCAAAACAGAATTTCCAGAACCAGGAGTGTGAACAGGCAGGATGAGGTGGGACCCTGAACTCCACAGGGAAGTGAACAGGCATCATGGGATGGGCCCTGAGCTCCACAGGGAAGTGAACAGGCATCATGGGACGGGCCCTGAGCTCCACAGGGAAGTGAACAGGCATCATGGGACAGGCCCTGAGCTCTACAGAATGGAAGCCCCGCGCCTCCGTGAGGTCTCAGAGAGGCTGCGTGAGAGAGATGAACAGGCTGTGTCAGCTCTCACAGTCTGCCCCTTTGAGCTTTGCTCTGCCAGGCCATGACCCCCAAGTGCTTGGATAAAAGGTGTGTGCCAGCCCCCCTGCTGGTAGCTTCACTTTAAGAAGCCAAAGGCAGGAAGCAACTTAACTGTCCACCAACTGGAGAATGAATAAATAAACGCAAGCACAACTCACATGCTGAATGCTATGGGACAACTAAAAATAAACGCAGGGATACATGACAATCAATGTGAATGCCTCTCAGAGTCTCTCTTTGGACAAAAGAAGCCAGGCACAGTAGTGTACGTCACCAACTCCTGGGTATCGTTAAGTCCAAGAACAGGAAGGAGAAATCTATGGATCTAGACATCAGAATAAGGGCTCTCACTAGGGGGTATATTTGGTTTTATATGTTGGTTTGTGTGTGTGTGTGTATGTGTGTGTATGTGTATGTATATATATATATATGTGTGTGTGTACATGTGTATGTGTGTGTACATGTGTATGTGTGTGTACATGTGTATATATATGTGTGTGTGTATATATGTACGTGTGTGTGTGTGTATATGTACGTGTGTACATGTGTGTGTATGTGTACATGTGTGTATATGTATGTGTATATGTGTGTGTATATGTGTGTATGTGTGTGTATATGTGTGTATGTGTGTGTGTGTGTGTGTGTACAAC